GCCCTGGGTTGCCGCTGCTCGCCGCCTGATCCGCGGCTCCGCGCGCGCCCGCTAGTTAGTCGCGGCCGCAGCCCGACCGTGACCGCTCGCCGCTGGCGCTTCCGCCTGCGGCTGTTAAAAAAGTATCCCCGCCAGCCCATCCAGAAACGACGCACAGGGGAGTTGAGATGACCAGGGAAATGTGGGAGCAAAAAGGGGGAAGGCCGAACCGAGCGAAAGAGGGATGAGGAGAATGTGGACGCTGAGTGGATGGATGGATGGATGAATGGATGAGGGAATGGGGAAAATGATGATGAATAGGATGAGGAGGAGGAGGATGAGGAGGAGGAGGAGGAGGAGGAGGAGGAGGGGAGAGGAGGAGGGAGGAGGAGGAGGAGGAGGAGGATGAGGAGGAGGAGGAAACGGAAAAGGAGGAGGAGGAGGAGGAGAGGAGGAGGAGGAGGAGGAGGAGGAGGAGGAGGAGGAAAAGGAGGAGGGGGAGGAGGAGGAGGAGGAGGAGGAGGACGAGGGGAGGAGGATGAGGGGGAGGAGGAGAGGAGCAGGAGGAGGAGGAAGAGGAGGGAAGCGGAGGAGGACGAGGAGGAGGAGGGAAAGGCGGAGGAGGAGGAGGAGAACGTGGAGGATCTTGAGGCTCTCTTGGGCCGATCCGAAAGCTCCTGGGCCGTTTGGAGTCCACCCGACACCGCTCTTTTATCGCCGCTCTTGGGCCATCTTGCGTGCCTGGGGGGGGGGGGGGGGGGGGGGGGCTCTTGGGGCCGCTTGGGTCCTCTTGGGGGCCTCTTGGGGGCGTCTTGTGGGCCTCTTGGGGCCTCTTGGGGGCCTGCTGGAGCCATCTTGGGGGCCTCTTGGGGCCTCCTGGGCGCCTCTTGGGGCCATCTTGGAAGAGATCGATAAAAGAACAGGGTGGAGCCAATTAGGGTCCCCCCTCCAGAGCCTCTGAAATCGCCTCTTGGACCCCTCTTGGGGCGCTCTTGGAGCGCTCTTGGGCGCTCTTGGGGCCGTCTTGGGGCTCTCTTGGGCCCCTCTTGGGGCCCTCTTGGGCCATGTTGGAGCCATCTTGAGGCCTCGGATGGCCATCGGAAGCGAAACGGCGAGAAGGCACACATCAGTGTTTTTCCTTATGTGTTTTACGGGTTTTGACATCTTGGGGGCCTCCTTTGTGAAGCTCTTTGGCCTCTTTGAGCCGTATTGGGGCGGTCTTGGGGCTTCTTGGAGCATCTTCGGAACCATCTTGAGGCATCTTAGGCTATCTTGAGCCATCTTGGAGGTCCTCTTGGGCTCTCCGAAGCGCTCGTGGAGCCGTCTTGAGCGAAAACGTACCCTCTGACACCTCGCGGGGCGCGCTGTCCAGGTCCAGGGGAGGGGGTAAGGGGGAGGGGTAAACCCCTCCCCGAAGGGGAAGAAGGGGGTTGGAAGATGAAACTCCCTAAACCACCTACGCCCAGAGGGCTGGTGGGACTTCCCAAACACACGCTAGCACTTAAGAAGGCGTTATTATTCAAGTGGCTTGCGCCGTTCCGCCGACCACTGGACACAGTGAGAGCTTGCAGCGGCCGTTGGCAGTATCGAAGACGCCTACGGCGAATCACCGCCGCCCCCTGCCCCTTTGGAAGCGCCTCTGTGGCCGACAGCTGGGCCAGAGCTTGGCCAAGCTATCGGGCTTGTTGTTTCCCGAGTCGGTTTGGGAAGACTTCGGGGAACGCGCGGGGGAGCAAGAATAGGAGGAAAGGGAGGATCAGGAAACAAGGAAAAGGATGATGATGAGGAGGAGGAGGAGGAGGAGGAGGAGGAGGAGGAGGAGGAGGAGGAGGAGGAGGAGGAGGAGGAGGAGGAGGAGGAGGAGGAGGAGGAGGAGGAGGAGGAGGAGGAGGAGGAGGCCTCTTGGGCGCCTCTTGGGGCACTCTTGGGGCCTCCTGGGAGCTTCCTGGGGGCCTCTTGGAGGGTTTTGGGGGGCCTCGGGGGGCTTATTTGGGGCCACTTTGGCAGTCTTAGGGCGTTCCTGGCTTGTCTGACGCCGTCGGAAGCCGTCCTGGGGGCCTGTCTGGGTCGTCTTGGGGCCCTCTTGGGCCATATCAAGGCCGCCTTAAATGCCATCTTGGGCGTCTTGGAGGCCTCTTGGGCCGTCTTGGGGCCCTCTTGGGCCGTCTTGGGGGCCTTTTGGACTGTCATGGGGCAATCTTGGAGGCCTCGTGGGCGATCTTGGGGCGATCTTGGGGGCCTCTTTGGTCGTCTTGAGCCGTCGGAGTGCCGAGAAGAAGCAAATGCCAAAATCCTTCAAACACCTAAGGGAAAATCAATGATTTTGTCATCTACGGGCCCTCCTGGAGGACCTCTTGGAGGCCTCTTGGGCCGTCTTGGAGGCCTCTTGGGGGCCTCTTGGGCCATCTTGAGGCCATCTGAGGCCGTCTTGGGTGCATCTTGGGCCGTCTTGAAAGCATCTTGGGGCCATCGTAGCCGTCTTGGAGGCCATCTTGACCGTCTTGGAGGCCTTTTGGGGCCCTCTTGGGGCCGTCTTGGGGGCCGTCATGGGGCCATCTTGGAGGCCTGGTGGGCGATCTTGGGGCGATCTTGGGGGCCTCTTTGGTCGTCTTGAGCCGTCGGAATGCCGAAAATAAGCAAATGCCAAAATCCTAAAAAAAAAACTTGAAGAAATCAATGATTTTGGATTCTTCGGGCCCTCCTGGAGGACCTCTTGGAGGCCTCTTGGGCCGTCTTGGAGGCCTCTTGGGAGCCTGTAGGGCTGTCTTGGGCCACCTTGAGGCCATCTTTGGCCGTCTTGGGTGCATCTTGGGCCGTCTTGGAAGCATCTTGGGGCCATCTTAGCCGTCTTGGAGGCCATCTTGGCCGTCTTGGAGGCCTCTTGGAGCCCTATTGGGGCCGTCTCGGGGGCCTTGGGCCGTCATGGGGCCATCTTGGAGGCCTGGTGGGCGATCTTGGGGCGATCTTGGGGGCCTCTTGGGTCGTCTTGAGCCGTCGGAATGCCGAGAAGAAGCAAATGTCAGAATCCTTCGAAAACCAATGGAAAATCAATGATTTTGTCCTCTTCGGGCCCTCCTGGAGGGCCTCTTGCAGGCCTCTTGGGCCGTCTTGGAGGCCTCTTAGGGCCTCTTGAGGCTATCTTGGGCCGTCTTGGGTGCATCTTGGGCCGTCTTGGAGGCATCTTGGGGCCATCTTAGCCGTCTTGGAGGCCGTCTTGGCCGTCGTGGAGTCGTCTAGGAGGCCATCTTGGGCCATCTTGGAGCCGTCTGGAACGGAAAAACCGTTTGCAACCACCTCCGGGCATCCTTGGGCAATCCTGCCGGGCACCTTGGCGGGACGGGCCGAAGCGCCAGGGGGAGTTCTTTTGGAAAAAGAACCAAAACCAAACCCTAAGAAGTCTAGCACGCCAGGCACCCCTGCGATGAATCGACAGGGGGCGGCGGATCGAGTGGCATTCGGCCCAACCCGCCACCGTGCCTGGGCTGTGGGTCAGGAGCCTTTCGGAAGCTCTGGGAGGGCTGTGTGGTGCATCTTGGAGGTTGTCTGGGGTCTTTGGGTGGCCTCTTGGGGTGTTATTGGGAGCGTTCTGGGAGCCTCTTAGGGCCTCTCGGGTCTTGGGGGCGCCTTGGGCCCTTTGGGGGGTTCTTGGGGCCGTCGTGGGGACATCGTTCGGTCAGCTCTTCGCTCAAGGTTATGGCGATTATTATGTGTGTGTGTGCTTAACGGAACATCATTTTCATGTCAATTACATGGCGCAGTCCCAACAGTTAGAGTATATGCTTACAGTATATTCATAATATACTACACGTGAGTTGTGATTTTAACATTGCCAAGTATCGGCAGTCTTACATGTTACAACTAGTGATGCGCAATTAAATAATACATTTATTTAATCCATATAACATGCTATAATGCATTATGTTTTTATTCCCAATATTATAGTTTTGTTTAATTATGTCATACATATATAATCATATATTATACTGACGATGTTATTTATGTTTTCTCGCCTGCTCCGCGTTGTGGTACGAGCAGGCAGCAATTCATGCATAGCTTTCCTTTCCTCTGATCGTAGTCCTCTTGTTATCTGCAGCCAAGTCTTTCTTCTTCTGCTTCGTCATCCTGTCTCCCATATGTCATCGGCCGTTACCTCGCCGTTCTCATGGACAGTTGCATCGTTGCTCGGGCGGCTCGGCTCGGCTTGTGGCCTGAGGCCGCCGCGCACCGGAAGGATAATCATCCCATAAGCCTTTACCCAGGCCCAGGATGTACATTGGGAGACCTCTGGGCGCCTATTTGGAGGCCAAGTGGCGGCCTCTTGGAGACAATGACGGGGCCCTCTGGAGGCTTGGGGCCCTCTTGGGGCTTTCTTGGGGAAAGTCGGTCACTTAAGGGCGTCGGAATCGTTTTTTTTCTGGCAGGCACAGTGATATTTGTCCTCTCCTGCACAGACGCATGTCGGACGCGATCGCCGATTTGTGCTGGCTTCGTAACTGTATGGTCTGGCCCTGGAATCACGATGCCCAGACAGCCTGTGATCCTCGTATGCCGAGTGGCGGTGAAGGTCTCGACCCCTTCCACGGGACGTTTTTTTCATCCTCAGTCGTTTTTGGACGGTCCCAGGTCCCAGGCCCAGAAATGGGGCAGTTCCCAGACATCGGTCGCCTCGATGTTCCCGATGCTTAGGCCCCTGGACTTCTCGAGCTCTTCCTCAGGGCTGGCTTGTCATCCCGAGTTGTCTTTTGACTGCCCCGAGGTCCGAAACGGGCTTGCAGAGGCCAAAGACGGCGAAAAACCAACCGCCCTGATTTTCGAGGCGCCCAGTGTCTGTGGTCGCCTTGCATTGGACAATTCTCGCGCCGTGTCGCGGCCGCCGAGCGAGTCGAACCTGCCTTCGCTCCCTCGCCGCCTGGTTCTTTGTTGCATCTCCTGGGAGCTCAAACTCAGCATTTGGGCTGGTGTTTCCGCGGGGAGACACCGCCCTGCTCAACGGTCGTTTGATCAGACTCAATCTCCCCTAGACCGAGACCCTTCCCGCGAAGACCCTCGCAGGAGTTGCCCCCTGGCTCGCCTCCCTCGCCTCGCCTGCCTCGCCTCATCTCGTCTCCCTCGCCTCCCGCTGTCCTCCGCCGGTGGCCCAGGAGGGAGGAGGGGGGAGGAGGGCGGGCGCCGCGGCACCTCCCCTGCGCGCCAGCGCGCCGGCGGCACGCCCACGCTCCGCGGCGGCCGCCGAGGCGGCGGGTGGCGATGGTCGTCTCCCGTGACGCCCTCAAAGAGTGACCGAGTGTAGGGAGGACGTCCTGCGGGGGGCAGGAGAAACAGGCATGGGGAGAGGGGATTGAAAAAGGCAAGGGGGGCCGAGGGGGAGTGCGGAGGACGTGCAGGGAGATGGCGGGATGGGGGTGATGAGGATGAGGATGAGGAGGGTACTGATGCTGGTGGTGCTGCTGATGATGCTGCTGATGATGATACTGCTGCTGCTGATGATGATGATGATGCTGATGATGATGGTGATGGTGATGATGATGATGCTGATGATGATGATGATGAT